TCATTTTGACTGAGCTTGTAGGTCTTCACTGAGTTGCTTCCTATGTCTCCGTCCACGGCCACAGGGAGAAAATATCGCTCTCCCGTTAACGATGATTCAGAAATATTTAAGTAATACCTGCTTTCAAGAAATGCAGGTGAATTGTCGTTTACATCTAATATATTAACCTCTACGCGATGTGCAGTCATTGGATTGCTTAGAACAGCTTGTAATTTTAAGGAGCATTTTATAGTCTGTGGACAAAGCTCCTCTCGGTCTATCCGCTCCTCAACTAAGAGATTCCCACTCCGTAAATCAACGTTAAGATATGTCTTACTGTAACTGGAAACCAAGCGTAGATCCCTGTTTTCTAGTTCCTGTACATTGATGTTTAAATCCTTTGCGAGATTCCCCACCACTGTGCCTTTGTTCACCTCCTCGGAAACCGAGTAGGCTAACTGCGAAGCAGCCCAGTGCCAAAGACAAAGAAACAGAACAATGCGAATCCAGACATGTTCCTCCTTTGGTCGGATATACATTGTTGATCCACAAAAACAAGTGAACACAAGTGAACATTAATCCTCATTCGAGAAATGTTCACCCGAAGCGAGAAGTGACACAAGGAGCTCCTACTCTCATCGTCACAGCACCTTCCGCGGGTGTGCAATGGCCGATGAGGATTTCATTTTTTCCCGTGCAGGGAGGAGTTTTAACTACACAAATACATTTAGGTCTATGGTCTCCTGCGACATCATGTGGTGATAGACTGATAACAAAACACAATAAAGAGTACTAAATTCCTGTTAAAAAATGTGAATATTGAAGTTCAGTATAGAAATAAAACATATATTATTTCGATTGTAAGCGAGAAATCTGGTTGATAAAAAACTCGCTATTTCCGTGACTAAAGGAACATCTGTAACATTATGAAAATTCAACGTAAATGATTATTTCGATTCGAATTCCAGAAATAGTCATTCTGTATTAATATGATTTTTTTTAAAGAATGAAAGGAAAATGTTTTGTTTTTTAGTGTATGAAAACACAACATCCATACGTCCTAAACAGGGCAACGTACCGTCTAACACCACGGACAGCGAGTTTTCACCACATTCAAGCACAGTCACTGAACATTACAACAAAATGACAACTGCTACAAAAAGTCAACGTTTAAGGCTC